GAACTGATATTCCTGTTATGTTATTTATGACTGTGCTTGGGATGTTGCCACTCCTGCCTGTGCTGTATGGGCGGAACCAAATAAACCTAGATCCTGCTGTCTTGACTTTTTCCATCAAATATCTGTAAAGAACAAATATGAGCAGAGGTAGTGAACTGGATTTCATTTTGTGCAAAGAGCTGCATATTGGTAATAGGCAGATTATATTAATGGGATAGGTATCTAAAAAGTATTGCAGTTTGGTCCTCGATTCTTTCTCCTGTCTCAGTTGCTCACGTGACTTTACACCTGATCGTTTTTCCTCCTTCAGTGTTTTCCCAGTTGCTTCCTATAAACGTCCAGGTTAAGTCCCTAGCAAATGAATCTTTTATTCAGGGATCTTAAGTGTTTTGAGTGGCTACTAAACTAATTGGAATAATTTTCAGAATGGTCTACTTCAGTTCTCATGGGTTTCATTCCAGTTAATCACCATACTGCAGATATTTCAGAAGAAAGAGAAGCTAATCAGTCTGAGCTTTGCTAAGAAAGAAGAAATGGCAACAAAGTTGATGTTCCCTTTCTGCCACACTGGGATTTAGTGCCGACAATTCCAATTTCTTGGCATTCTTTCCTTTGGGATGAAAATGGCTTATATTTAGGATAACTAAATATAGCATAATTTATCATTCCACTTGGAATGATTTTGAGTGAAAATAGTTACATAAGGATAACAGATATACACCATGACTGACCTGGTCTAATAGGATATATGGCACCCTACTGGAGTAAGCTCAGGTCTCAAGGTTGCCATCTTTCCTACACCAGTAGGATCAAGTAGTCTGTAATCGGAATAGAATGAAATCGATGCCAGCAGTAGCAGTTATGTGCAGTCAGACCTCAGGTTTCATTGTGTCCTTTGACTCTCCCTCATTCTTCCCTCTCCTTCCCTTTCCCTTAGAATTGGGGGATGGAAAAAAGGGAACTTATATTTTACTGTCGATTTTCTAATCCCAGTCAGAGAAGGGAAGCTAATTAAGCCAGTAACAATATTTACTAATATATCTTTTTAAAAAAGGAGATAACAACATATAGGAAAATTCCTACATGTAGGCTGTCAGCTTTTTCTTTTTCTTCCCATCCTCTGTGATTATGTAAACAGAAGTTGACACCCTATGCAAGTATGTTGTGGGGTATAAGATTAAGTACCAAATTGCTGAACATAACGCGAGTATTTTGGATTTGCTGAGTGCTGTCTTCCCATTAAAACTAAGTGTTCAAGGGCAGGCACAGTGGCTCATGCCTGTAATCCCAGCACTTTGGGAGGCCAAGGTATGCAGATCACTTGAGGTCAGAAGTTCGAGACCAGCTTGGCCAATATGGTGAAAGCCCGTCTGTACTAAAAGCAAAAACAAAAAACCAAAAACTAAGTGTACAATGAGATTGTAGCCTATGCTACAACAATAGTTTGGTAATGCCAATTATTTTAGAGAAAAGTAAATGAGAGGTTACCAGTTGGGTTTAGAGGAGATTGATGTTTTGTTTTAGACAAAATTCATAGGAAATCACAGTGGGAATATGTTAAGGGGTTTGAATGATTGATGGGGACAGGAAGAATTTATTTGAGAGATCCTAGAGATGAGCCAGTATTCTAGAGAGCGGAGTAAAGTAGTGAGTAATGTAGTGATTTAGCATGGGTTATCATTAAATCCCAGTGTCTTAACATAAGTATATTTTTTATTCATACTGCATGTCTAAGGAGGTTTGGCAAGGAGTGCTCATGGATATACAAGGAATCCAGGCTGAGCATGGGACCATCAACACATATTTCTATGAACATCGTGGTGTTGGGAAAATGCAACATGACAAATTACACATAGAAACGAAAGAAAACCAAGGTTAAAAAATTTTTTTGACTGCCACAAAATTTATGAATTGAACTTGCCATGCATAGCTAATAATTTTCATTCACTATGAATCTTTAGGTTTACATTAGCAGCTAATTTTTTGTGGTATAATTAAATGTAATTTATGATAGATTGGCTTCTGAATGTGATTAAATGAAAAGCATTGCAAAGATTTCTATTTTGGTATTTCTCATGATCCTCAAGTGCTTTATTTTAGGTGAATCTTTTAGTTTTTCTAAAGAGTATTACTTTTTTTATTACAAAATATTGGCATTTTAATCTCTCTGTAACTAGAGGGTGAATTCTTTTTCACCAGAGTAAAACAGGTCCACAATCTCTCATCTAAATTCCTAACTTCATAAATCTCTGAAAATAAAGCTTTTTCGTAACTAATTTGGCAACCAACCTCATCTGAATTACGTGAGGTTATTTGTGGTATTTATCCCACTTTAATGTGAATATGAATATATTTTGCCACAGATATATCAATGTATTTGATTCTAAATTGCTTCCTCAGACCCTCTGAATGTGTTACATAATGTAAAATATATGCCCATATTTCCTTTCAGAAATCTGAAAAATTCTGAATATCAAACACATCTGTCCCAAAAGGTTTCAGAAAAGGGATTATGGACCTATATTTCCAGACTCTTAACAAGTTCACAAGGCAGTATTATGATCCAAATTTAATCTACATAGACAATTTTCAAAACAAAAATTTTCAGGTCCTTAGTTTTCTAAATTTTAATATTTAACATTTCATTATTCATCTTAGCCTGGAGTAACAACGGGAAATATTTTGACATGCTTGATTTTATCAAGCCACTAGGTGGCATCTTTGTAAAAATAAAAGCACATCAAAAGAAATGTTTAGTACATAAATAAATGCTGCGATGAATGAAAATTGATGTTTCATGAGAAATACAAAGTCATTTGGTGCAATAAGTCCTGAGAAAAATGCATAATTTTATCGTGAAAAGGAAAATGGTATGGTAAAATTACTCTTCCACTTTTGGAGCTGAGAATCTTTTTCTTATTGGTTGTTTTCATTCAGTTTGAATATACATTTATTATGTAACCAAACTACATTTGTGTGTATGTGTGTGTATGTGCTTGTGGGCAGGATTTTGATATGCTAATAACCTTTCCATGTTCCACAGACTACCCAAGGAAGCATAACTATTAAGTTAGGTCCCTATTTAAGATTGAATTGTATAAAGTCATCCTCACAGCAAACTACAAACAAAAACAAAAACAAAAAGGAATAGTGGATATGAAGTCACATTTAACACTGCGAGACACTAGACGTTCTCTCCTACCAGTTTTTCTTTCCCTATCTCCTGACTGGAATAAACTTACTGTTTGCATACGGTCTCTAACATTGAGAACAGTGAATGATAAATTTTAAAGAGGAGACCCAGAAAAGTGAATGTTTAAAATCAGTGGAATTTTAATTAGTAGCAGAATGTAAGATAAATTATGATTTTGGAGATGGGAGTGGATGACTGTTCATAAAATCTTACCTGCACACCTCCACACCTGGTCTACCCAACCAAGAAAGGCTAATCCTAGTGGTTACCTCAATGCCCAACTTTCCCCTTTTCTTTTCATGAATGTGTGGAAATGATTAAAATGCATTTACTTTTACTTAACATCATTATTAAAGCCAATTTTATCGGAAAAAAATGTATTTCACTATTCTAGTAAAAATATATTTTAAAACGAGATGACTAAAAAAATGGACACGACAAAGCTATTGGAGAGATGAGAGTGCAATTTCAGCAGAACAGTGTAAATAAATAGATGAAGACAATGAACATTTATGAATAAGGGAATGGACCTGTACTAATTTGATTAATCCTTTAAAAATATCAAAGCATATTAAACAGTACCGTACTAGTGGTTAAAAATCTGGGACCTGGAGTTAAATTGCTTGGGTTTAATCCTGGTTCCTTCATTAAACTTTGTATGCCTTAGTTTTCTCATTTACAAAATGGATCTAATAGCAGCTTCTCCCTAATAAAATCGTTGTAAGGATTAAATTAGAAATCTATGTAAGGTGCTTCGTGACAATTAATACCTAACAGATGTTAGGTGCTATTATGAGATAGCAACGTGTAGTTTGTTACTAAATTTCCAAGAGAAACATAGTTGACCTGATCTTCAGTACTATCCTGTGCTTAAACATTTTCTTAAAGAATGTATTGATAGGCTGTGCGCGGTGGCTCACTCCTGTAATCTCCAACCCTTTTCAAGGCGGATTGCTTGAGACTAGGAGTTTCAGATCACCCTGGCCAACAGTGAAACCCAGTCTCTGCAAAAAATACAAAAAATTAGCCTGGGGCGGTGGCGGGCGCCTGTAATCTCAGCTACTCAGGAGGCTGAGGCAGGAGAATTGCTGGAGTCCGGGAGGTGGAGGTTGTAGTGAGCCAAGATCACACCACTGCGCTCCAGCCTGGGCGACAGCGAAACTTTGTCCAAAAACAAAAACAAAACAACGACAACAACAAAAACGACTTATTGATGTATTGATGTACAAAATTTAGTTTATTAACTAATTTAGTGATTAACAAAAGTTCTGCTTATAAGGAGGATTATTTGATAGCTACTGTCTCCCATGTTTCTTTGGCTGACGGGAAGCTGAGACCCAAGTTGTTAATTTAACAAAGGCAAGTAGGCACCTGCTGTTACACACTTGCGTTCTCCTTTTGACAGTTTTTCGCCTCTGACTTCATACTGTTTTCTCTCTGATTTTTTACATCTGTAAGATTAAATTGCTGTCTGTTTGGTTTAGAGAGCTGTGCGCTTTCGCAAGTGTTAAAGATCTTGGAGAGCGGTTACTGTCCTGATTCACTTTGGCATCTAGGTAACCGGTTGGTAACCGCCTCCGCCTCTGGCTCCTCCCCTTCTCCCTTCCGCCTCCCTCCTTCCCGCCGGCTCAGCCTTTGGCTCCTCGCCGTCTTCCTGCCGCTTCCCTTCTCCCCGACCCCTCGTCGCTGGCCCCGCCCCTTCTCCTTGCCGGGTCCCTCCTCTCTCCACTCGCCTCTGGTCCCTCCCCTTCTCCCTGCCGAGTCCATTCTCCCGCCCCCTCGCCTCTATCCCCGCCCCTTCCCCTGCCGCGTCCATCTTCCCTGTCCCTTTACCTCCGGCTCCTCCCCGAATCCTGGCTTCTGCGTCCTCCTCTTTGTCCTGCCGCGTTCCTCCTCCCCATACCGTCACCCCTAGTTCTTCCCCTTTTCCCTTCTGCGTCTCCATCAATCTCCTTCACTTCTGACTCCTTATCCTCGCCTCTAGCTCCTCCTCGCCCTGCCCCCTCACCTCTGGCCCCACCCCCTTTCCTCTGCCGCGCTCCTCCGTTGCAGGCCCCCACCTGCCTCCTCTGGCGCCTCCTCTGGCCCCTCCTCTTCGTCTCTACCGCAGATTCCGCCCCCTCCTCTGGCTCCTCCCCTTATTTCCTGCCACACTCCTCCTCCCGACCCGCCCCCCTCCTCTGGCTCCTCCCCTTCTCCCATGCTGCGCTCCTCCTTCCCGACTCCGCCATCCGACCGCCCCTGTCGTTCACTGGCCGGAAGAGGTGGTGCCAGGGCCGTTGCTATGATACGACCAGCAACGGAGAAAGCGGCGAGTTTGGAAGCTGCTTTTTAGGAGGCCGGGCAAGCACTTCGGCGAGAATAGTTGCGTTTCGTACACAGGTAGGAGGGCAGGTTCTGATTGCGGCCTCCTGGCCTGACGCTTAGACTCAGCCTAGAGCCGGTGATAGCCGCGCTGGACTCTGGGTTCTGTGGGCCGGGCAGCGATTCCTGCCTGGGCTCCTGGAGCTGCCTGGTCGGTGAGGAATGTTCCGCCTTTACTTTAAAAACTGCGAAGCAATCGAGCGCAGTGTCTCACGCCTGTAGTCCCAGCACTTTGGGAGGCCGACGCGGGCGGATCACGAGGTCAGGAGCTCGAGACCAGCCTGGCCAACATAGTGAAACCCCGTCTCTACTAAAAAATAAAAATACAAAAAATTAGCCTGGCGTAGTGGCGGGCGCCTGTAATCCCAGCTACTCGGGAGGCAGAAGCAAGAGAAATGTTTGAACCCGGGTGGCAGAGATTGCAGTGAGCCGAGATTCGTGCCATTGCACTCCAGCCTGGGCGACAGTGGGACACTATGTCTCACACACACACACACACACACACCCCGTGCAAAGCATCTCGTCTTTCTTTGCTCCTTTTCTGGCTCCGCCCATCTGATTTGGGACTTGAAGCAGCAGCATCAAACTAGAAGGTACACCTCACCCTACACCCCGAGTGCTTATCACGGTAATTGCATAGAAGATGTGTGTATAGCCCAAATCTGGCACTAGAAGACTTTTGGCCTTCCTTGGCGACCATTCTCATAATAAGTCGAGAGATTTTAGACTTTCCTCACCTGGCACTCTCACTCCTTCCTCTCCACCCATGGTCTTTGCCTCTTAACAAACTTGAAAATTCAGCAGACCTATTTGGTAGAAGGCAAGACTGGATACCTGCCTTACTAATTATACTAACATTCTAAATAAATTAAGCCGTAAATGGTAGGGCATGAAATATATTGTAGGTGAAAGGGGGACTTTTTTGGTGGGGAGACGGAGTCTTGCTCTGTCGCCCAGGCTGGATGCAGTGGCACGATCTCAGCTCACTGCAACCTCTGCCCCCCGGGTTCGAGCAGTTCTCCTGCCTCAGCCTCCTGAGTAGCTGGGATTATAGGTGCGTGCCTCCACGCCCGGCTAATTTTTGTATTTTTAATAGAGACGGGGGTTTCACCATGTTGGTCAGTCTTGTCTCAAACTCCTGACCTTGTGATTCGCCCGCCTCAGCCTCCCAAAGTGCTGCGATTACAGGCGTGAGCCACCGTGCCCTGGCCAAAGGGGACTTTTTTTTGTATGCAAACATGATAGAGGTTGCTCTTTTATTTTTAAACAGTAAGACTAAAACATTTACATTTGAATAGATAATACATTTTAAAAAGTTCAAATAGTAAAAAGAATGAAGAATAATCCGCCATTTACTCACCCCATCTCCAGGCCACCTTCCAGGGGTGTTCTAGACATACACAAATATGTAGATGTACCTGTAGCATTGTGCATACTCATCTGTGATTGGCGTTTACACTTAGGACTGTGTGTCCAGTTGTTTCCTATCAACAGTTACAGATCTGTCTCATTTATGCATTTATGGATGAATTTATGTATTTATGTTTCACGTGAGAGGTGTTTCGAAGCATATCAGGAAAGCTGGAAACTCCCATAAACAAAAAGATCGATAAATGTCACTACCTAACAATCTAAAACCTCTATATAGTAAAAGAAAACATAAACAATATCAAACATATAATGAGAAATATAAGTACAACACACAACAAAGGGATATTTAATGATTAAGACTCATAAAACAATATGAGGATGTAAGGAAACAGTCAAGGGACAGTTCTTGGGGCTGTAATAGAAAGCAGTTTGATGGAATTTAACAAAATTAAGATCTGTATGCCCTTTGACTTATCCATTCTAATTCTGGGAACTCATTTTCAGTATACTTACACATATATACAGAGATAGATGTATAAGATATTTGTTGTAGCACTATTTTTAACAGTAAAAAACTAGAGACAGCTTAAATGTCCATCAATAGAGCAACAGTTGACCACAATGTGGCTTAGCCTTGCAAAGCAATTGCTGTGAAGTTGTTGAAACCAATGTGGCAGAATCATATTTTACATCAAAATAAATGTTAAGCACATATATAGAAACAAGTTGTAATATAGTATTAAAGTTTAAAAATTAACAGAAATATAGTTTATGAAAGACATCAATATAATCATAAACAAATTTAAATGTATATATATTATATAATTGTAGCTTTATAGACAATTCCTGGAAAGGTAAACTGCCTAACAATGAGAAATAAATTAGAGTGTCTGGAATACTTTTACTTCTTATTTTATTCCCTTCTGTTCTGTTAGATTTTTTTTCTAGTAAGCACATATTACTCTCTTAAAAACAACAACAAAATGAACAATAACAATAATGAAAAAACACTTTTGAAAAGTCTTTTCAAACTGTAGCTTTCCAAACTATTTGGGCTGGAATTTTACATTTTACACTTCACACTTTAATATGTGTGCTTTGTTGTTTACATTTAATATTTGTTGCAATGAGAGTTTACATATATTTATGTATGCAAGTAGAGCATATTAATATATACATATGAGAGGATATTAGGAAATAGCAAAATTAGCTCCTTATTCTAGATAGGTGAAGAAAAAAATTGCTGAATATTTTCTACTGTATTTTAAATCATAGTCATGTTTCTCACTTAAGAGCAATAGACATTCTCTGTTAATGTATCTGATGATGAAGTTGTTAAATTCTGGATCTGACTACCACTAACTTACCATGAGGCATTCCTGGGTCTTAGCCTTCTCATCTGCAGGGAGATCAGTTTCTAGACTTTGTCTTAACCACCAGGACCCCTTTTCTTTTCTCTCCCAAAACCCCCATGGACTCCTACACTAAGATATAGCACAAGTTAGTGGTTAAGGGCATGGGTTCTGGATACAGACTGCCTGGATTTGGATCCTAGATCTACTGCTTACTAGCTCTGTGTTCTTGAAAATATTACTTAACCTCTCTGTGCTAATTTCTTTATCTGTAAAATGGGCATAATAATACTATCTGTGAAGATTAAATAATTTAGTATAAGTATTTGCTAATATTATGCTTTATTTTAAAAGTATTTTTTCTCCTACTATGTAAAATGAGTAATTATGTAATACCTAGGAGACATTATTAATGTGTAATTATCATTAGCTATTTGGAAATTTTATAAATAGTTCATTACTAATTAGCTAACATTTATTTTGTGCTTAGTATATGCCAGGCACTGTTTGCTAAGTACTTTATATACACTATTTTATTTAATTCTTGCAAGAACCTTTGATGTTAAAACTACTAATATCCCATTTCCCAAGTGAGGAAAGTGAAACTTAGGTTAAGAAACCTCTGTGTCTCAAAGTCATGCAGCAGCTAAGTATCAGGAACTGTGAGGAGTCTGATAATTTACTCTACGTACAAACTAATGAGTTAGTCACTGTTTCTTGGATGCTGGGTCAAAGGACACATGGCAAAAGAAGTAGCCAGCGCTTCAAGTTTGTGCCAATTTCCCAAGCCTCCCATTTCATGCAGGGGAAACAGAAGTGAGTCTACAGGGATGCCGGGACATGGGGAATTTACTGCTTCTATAGTAAACCAAAGAAAGCCTGCTCTTTGTTTCAGTGAGAAGACGTTATCTCAACCTTTGCAGTTTCTTGGTGCAAACATAACCCTGAGAAATGGCCTGGGTAAACAGTGATGCTGACCTTGAATTTTTGTCACACTCCACACGAACATGTAGGGACAGTCAGGACCCATGGCTGATTGCTTCTCTCAACATGAAATTGTTAAGTCTGGATTCAAACTCAGGTGGGCTGGTTCCACAGTCAACCCTCCTGAAATGCCACTTTAGGAAACCAAAGCTGAGAATCACTGTACTGTATGGCATTGAAGTCATGACTTAGAAACCTTGAAATTTCTTATTTTTAGGTTGAATAAATGCTTATCACTGCTAACCATTATAAACACAGTTGCTAATCACCCTTTATAAACAACTAACAGCTTGAAAACATCTAATTATTTGGGTCATATATTCATATCATTAATGACCTTCTATGAACCTTAGGCACTACTGTACATACAATCGACAGGTTATAGAGAGCTATGATCTGTGTGTGTGTGTGTGTGTGTGTGCGTATGCGTGTGCGTGTGTGTGTATGTGTGTGTGTGTGTGTCTACTTTAGACAGGGTCTCAGTCTGTCGCTCAGGCAGGAGTGCAGTGGTGAGATCTTGGCTCACTACAACCTCCCCCTCCCTGGCTGAAGCGATCCTCCCACCTCAGCCTTCCGAGTAATTGGGACTACAGGTGCGTGCCACAATATAATGCCTAGCTAAGTTTTGTATTTTTTTTGTTGAGATTGGGATTCACTATGTTGCCCTGCCTGGTATTGATCTCCTGGGCTCAAGAGATCTGACCACCTCAGCCTCCCAAAGTGCTGGGATTACAGGTGTGAGTTACCCACACGTGGCCCTCATCTTGTTTATAAGGAGGTAGATTGTTTGGAGGAGAACAATCTAGGACACCTCACATACCAAAACTAGAGTGAGATGAATATAAGCATTAGAAATCATAGCAACAAGGAAATGGAGGCAGGTGCATTGAGGAGGAAGGTGGAAGGGTATGAATTTATCCAGTACCTATCAAAGGAACTTTCAAATATGTGGCTTCTGTTTCTGGCTGCATTGATTTCACATGTCTCATGGTTTTATATACCATAGACTTCTGACTCTCCCAATTTCCAGGCCAACATCTTCGGAAACCTTCAAACTACTAACCCAGTGTCCCATGGGCACCTCAAACTCAGCATACCCCAAACCAGACTGATCTAACTTCCATGCATACCTCCATGCATACCTCAGGCCTCCTTTAGTTGAAGTTTTCCTTATTTCTGCAGATGTAGCTCTGTCCTTCTGGTTACTCTGGCTAAAAATACTAGCAGCATCCTTGATTCCTCTCTTTATCTCATAGCCCACATCTAGTTCATCACTAAATCCTTTCAGCTCTATTTAAAAAATATATCCAG